TAACTTGAGAAATAGTAGAAGTGCGCGGAGAACCTACTGAAGAACTACAAATGCGCTTGAACCTCCTTAAAGGGTATACTCTTTATGGTTGCATAATTTGTATACATATCAGGGTGTTACTACTCTTAAAAGTGTTGGTGGAATTTATTTCTAGTTTTTCTTGCTTCCTGTGAAAAAATATAATATTTTAGAAAAAGTGGACTTAGCAGCAAGTTTTGACTCTTAACTAGCGATATGTAGTTTTAAGAAGTAAAATAAAGTAGCTTTTTAAAAGTAACAAAACTTGCTGCTTTTGAACTAGTAGGAATCTAGTTACTATCTTACTGTTTAGAAATTTGGTTCACTAGTTCGGGGTTTCCCTGGAGGAATATTAAAATGCGATGAAATTTCTTTTAGTCCTATAAGCATATCACACTTTGTTGCTGTTGTTGCTTCTTACAATCTCTCATGCGTAAAATGGTGGAACTTTATATCCGTCTACATATACATATTCCTACATTATACGCGGGAGCTTATTTAAATTACTTCAAAGAATTATGACATTTTTCCTTTTTGGTGATTGACTGATAAGCGGTTACAATTTATGGCAAACAAGACTTGAAATATGAGACGAGAAAATGTGGTGAAAGAAAAAGGCAGCAATACCCTACATCCTAAGCAAATAATTACACACAATGAAAAAATCGATAGCAGCAAATCTTTAAAATTAAAAAAAAAATCAGAAATCTTAATCGCAATGATTATATGTAATAATAATAATAATAATCTCAGTCCTTATCGTATTCATAATCATAAGAGTAATCATAATTATAACCAAAATCAAAATCAAAATCATAATAATAATCATAATCACAATCATAATCATAGATAATAATAATCATAATAGTTTTTTTATCCTGGCAACTGTCTTTCAACTTACCACAGCCGTTCAAAAAGCAAAAGTCTTGTTCGCCTTTCAGCAGTCAGTTCTTTTAAATTAAATTAAATTAAAAAACTTATATATTTTTCGTTTTAAAACAATAAAAATTAATAAATAAAAGAAAATTAAATTAAAAAAGAAGAAAGTTTAATAAAAAAGAAGGAATTAGTACGTAAAATCGTAAAATTGAATTATATTAAAAATATTTTTATTAAAAAAAAAAAACAATTAAAAAATTTAATAAGATCCTGAAAATTAAATGAAATAAAAAACTATTTTCCTTTTTTAAACAATAAAATCTAAAAATTAAAAAAAAAATGTAATTACAAATTATATTAAAAAGAATTAAAAAAAAATAAATAAAACAATTTTTTTAAAAGTAAATTAAATTTAAAACAAAATATATTTATTTTACACAATAAAATCTAAAATTTAAATAAACTTTAGCTAAAAAACTAAAAAAAATATTTAAAAATTAGAAATAATAAGTTCCTCAACTTCAACGAAATAAAAACAAAAAATATTCTTTAAAAAAAACAATCAAACCATTGAAGAAAATCAAATTAAGAAAAAATAAATAATTTAAAATGTAAAATAAATACTTAAAATTAGTCTCTAAAATTAAATTAAATTAAAAAAATATGTTTCCCCTTTGAAAATAAAAAATACGAAAACTTAAATTTAAAAAAAAAAATGTAGATGTAAAAAAGTAAAAAAAAAAATACGCTGCGCAGAGCGAAAACCACCACATAACATAGAACAAAAATAAGAAGATATCCTTAAGAGAAAAACCTTCTTGTTTTTAATGGAATTTTTAATAAAATCAAGAAGGAATTCTCTCGTTTTTTTAGGTTACCTAAAATTATAAAAATATAAAAAGCTAAAAATATAAAATGAAAATGAAAAAAAAAACGTACTGTGCTGAGCTGTTCTCGAATCCGAGACCTACTTTACGGCAGCTCTACCTTCGCGGCTACGGTGGTAGCCTTGGCGGCAATATTATATTTAATAATATGAATTTAAGTTTTCAATAAATTCAAGAAGACATCACATAAAACTAAGAAGAAAAGCTTTTCAATAAATCATCACATACAATTAAGAAGTAATTTTCAATGAAATACAAACATCCATTCGGCTACAACATCTGCGGAGAAAGCATGCAGAAAATACAAACTTCAATTCATTGTCTATTTTGTTATAAATAAAATCAAGAAGAATTTATACATAAAATCAATAAAAAATCTCGATGGAATTTTCTTCCTTTGTTTCGCCTGTTTTACCCCTTAGCCTAGAAACTTTTCATAGAGACAATCTTCTTGTTTTTATGTGTCACATTTTTCCCTGTGTGCCCCAGGATCGGATCTCTAGATTGGCTTGCCTTTGCTTTGCCTGCTCTGCCATTGCGACTGTTTGATTGACGCGATCTAAATTACATGCAAGTGCTTTCTCTCAAAATAGCTTTTTCACTACGGGTGTTGAATGAGAGAGCTTTTATTCCAAGACTTTTGAGCTAGAATAACAAAAGTCTTCCACACTATCTTGCCATCTGTCAATTTCAATTTATCTTACTGTCAATTTCAATTATCTTACGAAAGACTTTTTACTATCTTTCGCTAGAATTTCCCGGTTATTCTCTAAAAAAAACTCTTCGCCATTTTCCTCCATTAAGAATTTACACCAGTAATTAACACCAAATTTAGGCAGGTTTTTCAGCTTCCTTCGAAAGTAGCCTCTATAACCATAAAAATTTGCTCACTTTTGACTGCCTTTTAGGACTCTTCATTTCATGGCCGCTTCATTATTCAGTATTATTTATTTGTAAGTAGTACGAGTATTTTTTGTAAATATAAAATTTTGCCAAATTTCTGAGTTTCTTTTCTCAACAGTACATATGTATGTTTTGTTTCGTTTCTTACTTCAAGTTCTCTCTAGTTTCATATTTGGCTTCCATCTCTACGCACCTCTTTCTTAGCACCCACATGCCTTTTCCACCCTCTTGACCCTCTTCAAGCTCTAATCAGGCCTTTTCATACTACTAGCTTCAACGTGACCAAACTTCATTTCGTGTTTTTGTTTTCACCCCTACCCTAACTGTATTTTTTTATTCCGAGTGTACTTTTACTTCTTCGTTTTTATTTGCTTTATCGCTCGATCGGCATATAAATCAATTTTTGTGACAAATTTATTATAAACGTCGCAGGCAATGTGTTTTTTATTCACATCCCCTGCCACTCAGTTACCACAACATTCCCAACTTATTTTGGCCCAAAAAAGTTTTTAGCTATAAATTTTAGCCTAAAAGAAATTTACAAATTGTGGTGGGTGTTTTTTTTTTCTTCTTCTATTTTTTTATAGTACTACCAGCAGTGCTAAAAGAATTTGGCGCGACAATTTAATCAAATGTCATAATGCAGTGAAAATATTTATTACAACGCAACACAAAAACAAAAAAACAAAAAATGTAGTCAAATAAAGAAGAATACTCAACTAATAAAACTAAAAACAACGCTTTCGCAACCCACCCTCTTCATCAGACTAGTGTTTTTTGTGGGTTCTTGCAAGCAATCGTATTTTCGTAAGAAATAAATTATTAAAAAATATTTGTTACAATTGGCACCATAAAAATTTTACTTTTTTTTATAACAAACATAAAATTTCCATTTGCGTTTCCGTTTATTTTATTTTTTTGGGTGAAACACTTATGTACATACATTTGCTTGCTTACATACTTGCGTTAGTGCAGTAAACTTTTTTATAAGCCACTAGGAAGGGCGTAGTACGTTACCCCCACTTTATTCCACTTTTGTTTGTTTCCATAGTAAAATTTGTTACGCTATCGTTAAAAGCTTTATATTCCTTTGCATATGCCCGGAAAAAAATTAGTTACATCAGCTTTTCGCATTTAAATCGTCAGTTTGATTGACGACCTTCAGAGCCTCTGAGTGATGCGTAGCAAGGTTTCCACAATACTACTCCTTTACTTATTTCTTACCAGTGAAGGTTCTGAGACAAGGCTGGGTCTAGATTTTCAAATGGTTGTTCTATTTGGTCTACTGCCTACTCTTGGCAAGTTAAATTTTTGAGTACAAGTGATATTCCGTTGGAACCTTTTGTATTAGATCCGAATGCAGCCTGCCGTGCGACATAACTTCGTTAATATTTGCACTTCCTTACCGACTACTAAAAATTTGTGGTTAGTGTCAGGTAAAGGAACGCTTCGCAGAAGAGGTCCACTGGCCGGTGTGCTTTTATAGGCATGACAAATATCATATACTTAATTAATACACAGGAGTGGTGATGCTGCTTGATACCCACATCATTCAAGATACGTAGAGGGTGCAGAGGGAGGTCCGGGTATTGAAACTCAGTGATCTCGTCTTGAAAGACCGTAGCTGTCACTTGTCGCCCTTGTCGCCACCGTTGTCATAGTGTGTGATAATGGGGATGTCATCCGCCTACACCAGAGCACTCTTCATAGGTTACCAGTAGCCACCGGCCGTCTGATGCACCATTGTACTCTGACCGTTGTCTAAAGCCGTCGGTCGATTCAGCAGTGCATTGACCGGTAGCCATCAGTACTCTCACTCAGCAGTGCATTCCTTGCTTGTCCATCGATATTGACACCAGATACCGTCGCCAGATACCGTAGCAGTCGATAAGCTAGTGTTCTCCGATAATCTAGTTTCCAGCTTTGGGCTTAACAAATAAGGCGCCTTTGAGCTGAAGATTTTTTGTCTAAGCCGCAAACAAAATCGTAGGAGAGTTTTTAGTTTGGTTGTTCGCGTCCCAAGATGATTTAGGTAAAAAACTTATAGTTTAGGTTACAGAAAAGGGGTGAAAAAAGAACATTCTATCGGCAAAAAGGAGGGCGTAGCAGACTTCAAAGTCATTGGTAGCTTAAGCTACACATATGGGGAAGGTCTACATAGTAATTTAAGCCATATATTAAGAATTTTTGAATTACTTATTATAGGTATTATTTATTGAATGCTGACTCAATCACTTATTAACTAAATAAATGCTTTTATTTCATACGTCTAACTCATCTCAACAATTCTATCAATCAATTATTTCATTGCAGTTGTTATGCATAAGGATAAGGAGGAGAATGGCATGTTGCCACACATACACACACACGCACACGATGGCTATCGAACGCGCGAATTGGGCGCCTTTGAGCATGGCCTACTCGACGGTGATATGTTCCTGCAGGTGAGTGAAGATATATGTACCTATTAATATATACATACATATTTATTGTCTAAGCAAAAATAAATTTAAAAAAAAAAAACCTTGTATACCATGTAGATCTGTATGACTGGTACTTACGGGACGTGTGTAATTATCTTATTAATTATGCGTTTGAGTAGATATTGACGGCATTAGGTTCAGCGTTGCCGCTTTGGTAATTTTTAACCAAAATTGGTATTTTTTTTCTTTATTTATCAAGTTTGGTAATTTGGTAATTTATTTTTCAATTTGGTAATTTTTTCGATTAGGTCTTACATGTCAAATAGGTCAACATTGGTTCTGATTCCACATTAGTAAGTGGACCGTAAGTGTTTCCTTTTATAGAAATACCAGGTAATCCTGAAAGTTTCGCAAGGCGAAAGTTGTTCCAGCGTTCCTTGGCTACTAGAATGATGTGTTCTTTAAGAAACTACTTGAAAGTGGCTATTGCTAAGTATATCCACCGTGTCCTTTCCTGGAAGGTTTTTGGTGGTCCTACCTTTCCCTGTCAGTTCGTCAACTTTTCAATTGCCATCAATTTTCCGGTGTACCCGGCAACCATATATATGTGAGTTGAAAGCTTTCCTTCAAGCGTTGAATTTTTGATATATTTTCTTGTCACTTGTTTACATACAGTGGTCGAAAAAAATTATTGCCGCACCATATTTTGACAAGATTTAAAATATTATTTTTTTTTGTAATTTAATTTTGGTTAATTTTTATAAAAATATTGTTCTTTCTTTAACAGAACTCAAACAAATTAAAATTTCAAACGTTGTTCAATATTTAAAAAAATTCAACAAACTTTCGTAAACATTTTAGGTTAATGGAGCGCGGATTGCCAGAAAAGCTTGGTACCTTCGGATATATATATATGTATGGACATCGAGCCCAAACTGCCAAAATAACGTAAGCGATATTTTTTCAAAACTTTCTTTTTGATGCAGAAAGGCATCTAGATGCTCAAGGAATATTTCTGCACCAAAAAGGAGATTTTTTAAAAATGTCGCTTACGTTATTTTGGCGGTTAGGGCTCGATATGCATATTTGTACAGTTCTGCACATAAAATAAGTTTGGTAATTTTTTGTTGAATTTGGTAACTTTTTCCGGTGATTTTGGTAAAAAATAAAAAAATGTTGTGGCAAGACTTATAAGGTTATCTACAGCAGATTGCACGGTGGAGTATATCAATAAAATACGAACTATGCAAAGAACTGCGGTCATCATAAATAAATGCATAGATATATCTATATATAGATGTACATATTATGTACATTAGGGTGCCCACCGAAAACTCTAGTTTTTTTTTGGAAATTTCAAGCCAATACCCCCTAATTTTATTCATTTTTATGAGAAATATTATTGCCTATTTTTATAGATTTTTTAAAGGTCATTTAGAGGTCGCGACATGTCGATTTAGATCAGAAAATAAAGTTTTGTAGATTTATGAGTTTTTGAATGACTATTTTTGCTCCGATTTCAAAGAGCGGATATGATCTGAAAAGAGGATATATAAGCCTTTAAAATGGTGTATAATAATATATTGTCGGGCTTGGCTTGGTGGGGTTTTTTATCGGGAAAATAAAAAAACAATATTTCTCTAAATTTTTTAAATTTTTACCATCCATAATTTTCAAAATTTCAAAATACGTAGTACTATCTAAAATTAAATCTATTTTTAAATAACTGATAGCCTATTTATTGGAATTGCATAAAAATTGTCGTAAGGCGACTTTTCTTAAATACGGCCTTGATTTTATATTGTTTATGTAGCGGACCTTCAGATTTTTTGAGCAGTGTGGCTAAGCAATTCATCAATATTTATTCAAATTTGATATATACAATGGCTCTTTAGCAAAAAATGCTAAATGAGGGGTAACATCAAGAGCAAGCATGAAGGGGAAAGAAGAGCATATTAAAATTTCTTGTACTCCGACTCTCAATACTAATACTTTCAATGCAGTTTTTGAACCTCCTTTACATCTTGTGTAGCACTTGACTGCTTGAAGAGCCAAAAATCTGCCCATCCCTGATTTAAATAATTTGACGCATATACGCTAACACACTCACATAAATATAATATCTTAATATGCTATCACAACATTTCACATATACAGCCGTGTACTTGCACTTCAAAAATTTATAAACATTTCAATTTCCCAAGTATATAATTCATGTGCAAAAAAAATATCCCATAGAATTGGCTAAAAAGGACTTGCGTGTTTGCGAATAATTGCACGAGCAATTTTCAATTTCAATTCAACGATGCAAGCACTCAAAGTGCAAGTACTCAGCACCTGCATAACCGTTAAGCACACGCGGCTTATAGCTATAGTAAAACAAATATGCTTGAATGAAGCAACAAAAAAAAAACGAAACGAATGGCAGAGTTGCATTTGTCTAACGTGGGGTAGCTAAATCTACACAAATACAAGAGTATTTATGTAGGCATATGTACATTAGGGTGGTCCTTAAACAATGCTACTATAGTCGAAGATATCACTTAGAAATTTTGGTCCCGATTGAAGGCGGTTAAGGCGTATCGCACAAGGTTCAGATTACCCTATGAAGACGTCTTAACCGACTGCAATCAGGACCAAAATATATATGTGATATCCTCGACTGTATCAGTATCGATTTTGGGTATTAAATATATTAAAAAATATTTTTAATATTTTGAGTCCAAAATTTATATGTAATATCGTGACCGTGGAACTACCGATTGAGGGAGTGAGACTGGAAAAAATCCTTAATTTGATATTTTTAAGGACCACCCTAATGTACATACATACATATATGTATGTACTCAAATAAGTGTAAAAAATATGTATAGATTCGTATGTATGTATATATGTACATTGGTTTTTGCAAAAGCTGACACATTGCGCGCTTGTCCACTTGTCAAACGTACGCGTTTGTCCGTCCGATTGTTGATCGCAAAACGCGCGCTTTCATGCGAGATTTTCGCGTATACACATGAATATGGCTGTTGTTGTTGTTTTTTTTATTTTTATTGCTAGTGTTAAGGTTTTTGCATGCAACTGCATTTCAATGTCAAGTACGTACACGATTTTAGGTCCGAAAAAAAATGGGTTGAAGTGTTGGAGAAGGCTGAAAATACAAAAATTTTCTCTAAGCAACATTTGCGATTACAAAAACAGTTAACACAGTGTGCTTGACAACCCTTAACTGCTGAGTGTTTTTATTGTTTTTGTTTTTTCTTCGAAATGCATGAAAACTGGTTTTGTGAAAAAAGGAGAACAAAAGAAATGCACCTGCCTTAAAATGCACTGTATACACACATTCGTACATATGCAGTATACATATGTATGTATGTATACGTTTATGTACAAACAAAAAATGTGTGTGTCTATATGCGTGTGTGCAGCTCTACGTCACCATTTTCCATCTCCACTTGCAATCGCCTACTTTTCCACCTGCTTGTCACTCAAACGCCCGCTCTCAGTCACCCCTCCGCCCAGCCACTTGTACTCAAATTCGCTTATGCATTTCTACAAATGTATGTATGTGTTTGACCAGTGTTGCATTTTTAATGCATTTCGCACCTCATTTTTCTTCAACACTACAAGTTGCAATTTGTTCCTATATAATCAACATACATACAAATGCTTGATGTTGTGTGTGCGTGTATGCACTGTGTATGTGTTAGGCAATGCACCAGATAATAACGGCTTTTTGGCACACAATTTCTGAATTATTAGTGCGCGGCAGTAAACAAACAAGCTCGAATGGTGTACACTGGTGCACACACACTGTTACTGTTAAATGCATTTACACATAAATACATACGTACATACATACATATAAATATTAACGAGCAATTGCATTGTGTGTAGAACTTTCTATGCAGAAATGCTAAAAACTTTTGCATTTAGTCCATTTGCTATGAGCGAGGGTGAATCGGAAGTTAGGAGGTATCTAACTCTAAACGTAAAAGTAAGTACGTAGACTAGTTTGTTTGTTAAACTGCCAGCTATAATTGACTGACAAGTTTCTATGCACAAACAGTGCACAAAAATTAATTGTAGCAACTACAGCAACACACATCTGCACACATGAGTCCAGCTGCAATTGAAAAGTGGCAATAATTCGAACGACACGTGCTTTGATGCTTTTCCGCGTAATAGTGCAATTGAATTTTTAGATGTCCCAGAGGGAAATATTGAACGAATACTTTGATTTTACATTCTGGACAGTGTTGCCAAGGACAATTTTTTTTCCTACTAAAATTTCCTACCAAGAACGATCAAAAGCTACCAACCATTTTTTTTTTAGTTTTTAATTTTTTTTTTCAATGTCAAGTTCATTAAAAATATAGATAGCATTGCATTTACTGTGCGGACTTATACAAATGTATGTATCTTTATATATACATATTATTATTATTATTATTATTATTATTATTATTATGATTATTATTATTATTATTACGTCAGGAATAGTCCCGCTGTGACTTAAGAAGATCTATCGTGCTAAACCCCAATTGTATTCACTGCAACCTTAGGCTATTTAAGAAATTAAGCACCAAGCTATTCATGATACGTGGGCAGTCACATAGAATATGCCCTCGGGTTTCCTCCACCAGCTCACAAAAGACTCGGGACCATTAAAGCGCATTTACGCTCCACGCTTTGCGAGACAGTCAGCCTTTTCGTTATCTTCAAACCCTATCGTTACGCTATTGTGGGCTACCAGATAGTTCAAAAGAGTTTTACAGTAGGCCTTTTACGCTGCCTGACTATAAGAAATAATATTTATTCTGGCCATATTTCCTCTTCCCCAAAGGCATTTGCGAACACATACCTCGATTTCGAAGATTTCCACCTGGAATGTCGTTGGGTATATGCCCATTGTCAGACTTTCCTTGAATCTTAGTCCAAGTAGGCCTGCCATAGTACTCCCGTCATCCATCTTCGATCCGTCGGAATACTATACTTGGGACCTTTCGTCAATCATAGTT